TGTCATTCCCCACACATGTCATGTCATTCACCAAATGTGTCATGTCATTCCCCAAACCTGTAATGTCATTCCCCAAATATGTCATGTCATTCCCTAAATGTGTCATGTCATTCCCCAAGCATGTCATTCCCCAAACCTGTCATAATACTAGAAGATTTTGTAACAAACAAAAGACATGCGATTATTAAATCATGTATTCATAATATTTATTTATGTTATTTATTTATGATAATTTTTTTTCTTACCAAACATTTATCATATTATTTAATTATAATATTTATTCATTATATTATTTATTTATAATATTTATTCATTATATTATTTATTTATAATATTTATTCATTATATTATTTATTTATAATATTTATTCATTATACTATTTATTTATAATATTTATTCATTATATTATTTATTTATAATATTTATTCATTATATTATTTATTTATAATATTTATTCATTATATTACTTATTTATAATATTTATTCATTATATTATTTATTTATAATATTTATTCATTATATTATTTATTTATAAAATTTATTCATTATATTATTTATTTATAAAATTTATTCATTATATTATTTATTTATAATGTTTATTCATTATATTATTTATTTATAATAAATTTATTCATTATATTATTTAATTATAATATTTATTCATTATATTATTTGTTTATAATAAATTTATTTCTCACCAAATATTTATATTATTTAATCATAATATTTATTCATTATATTATTTATTTATAATATTTATTCATTATATTATTTAATTATAATATTTATTCATTATATTATTTATTTATAATATTTATTCATTATCTTATTTAATTATAATATTTATTCATTATATTATTTATTTATAATATTTATTCATTATATTATATAATTATAATATTCAATCATTATATTATTTATTTATAATAAATTTATTTCTCACCAAATACTTATATTATTTAATCATAATATTTATTCATTATATTATTTATTTATAATAAATCTAATCCCCAACAAAATATACATTATAATAGATAATATTTATTTATGTTATTTACTTATAATAGATTTCCTCTTCAACAAAATATTTATTATATTATGTGTTTATAATATTTATTTATGTTATTTATTTATTCATGATAGATTTATTCCTCACCAAATATCAATTCATCACCAAACTGATAAATATAATGTAGTTATGTTCAGGTGTGTATTGGAGTTATGTTATGTTGTTATGAATTATGTTATAAGTTATGTTATGTTGTGTTATGAGGTATGAGTTATGTTATGTTGAGTTATGTTGTGTTATGAGTTATGATATGAATTATGATTGTTATGAGTTATGTTATGTTGAGTTATGCTGTGTTATGAGTTATGAGTTATGTTATGTTTTGAGTTATGTTATATTTATTTCGTTAAATTTGTTCCTCACCAAATATTTATTATATTATGTATCTATAATATTTATTTATTATATTTATTTATGTATGATAAATCTATTCATTACCAAACTGATAAACATCTTTTTATGTTATGTTCAGGTTGGAGTTATGTTATGAATTATGTTATGAGTTATGTTATGAGGTATGAGTTATGTTATATTATGAGCTATTTTATGTTATGAGTTATGGTATGTTGTGTTATCCTATGAGTTATGTTATGTTATGAGGTATGAGTTATGTTATATTACGAGTTATGTTGATTATTGAGTTATGAGTTATGTTATGTTATGAGGTATGAGTTATGTTATATTACGAGTTATGTTGATTATTGAGTTATGAGTTATGTCATGTTCTGATATTTATTTCGTGGTGCATTAGAGAGAATTTGGGGGGGAGGGAATATTATTTTCTTTCACTTTATTTTATTTTGAAAATATAATTTTTTTTTTTCTTTTTTTTGTTAGTGAGTAAAGGAAAACAGTATTTGGTCCATAAAAGTTATTCTAGAAGATTAAGCTAATTATTGGTTATTTTCAATTTGTATTTTCACATTGCTCTTATAAGCTATTAAAGTTGTATTTTTTCATTGATTTTTTTTTCTTTTCATTTGATCATCAAAAAAAAAAAAAAATTCACCTGTATATGAATTGAATTTTTCATTTACAACTGGTGCATCATTTAAAAAAAAAAAATAAAAAACTGCCATAAAAAGGCACTTAAACAATTTAATTATGAAACATGACAACCATAACTCTGAAAAAAAGTGTTCAAAATGGACATTAATTCTTGTCCAATAATTATTAAAGGAAAAACAGGAGTCTTGCTTCATGGAGTTACGTGCCCGAGTTTTTTTTTTTTTTTTTTTTTTTTTTTCTCTCTCTCTCTCTGGGCAAAGGTATATCTACAGACCTCGTAAAAATAATGCCCATGATCTTTACGTACACTAAAGTATTCAGTGTGTTTATATAATCTGTATATATATATATACACATATATAATTGTATGTATGTACATATATATTTACATATATGTATATATAAATATATATCATCAAGGGGGCTAACGCCGACAGGGGCGCATGGCCCGTTCACTTCCAGCCACGAGGGTCCCTCATGACAAGTATCCAGGGAGGCCCTCAGCCCATCTCTAACTCCTCGCTTCAGGTCTCGTCGAGCTGCCCAAGCCACAGCCTCCTAGGCCATCCCACAGGCCTCTTCCACCCAGGGTCATCCACAGGGAAACGAGCTAGGTGCCCATGTAGCCCGAGTTGGCGATCCTGGATTATGCAAAGAACAGGTCCCACGTCAGTCTCAAGGTGTAGCCGTCCTCTAGAACTGCCGAGGTCTGTGGAAATGATCATAGATTAGTTGTGGCAACTATCCAAGTCCACTTCAGGAACTCCAGTTGTTTCAGTGCACACCCCAGAGTGTTTCATATGGACAGATTGAGGGAGGGGGAGTGTGCCCGGGAGTTTCATAGCACTTATTAGCACTTATTAACACTATTACTCTGGTCTGCTCAGCAAGTGGCCAGATAATCTCAGATCCTGTTGGTATTTTGAGTAGTCATAGCTGGTTGATATACCAACAGTAAACTTGGATGCAGTAGTGTTGAGATTCCTTTGCCAGACCACATACATATATATATATATATATATATATATATATATATATATATATGTATGTTTATATACATACATATACATATATATGAATGTTTAGATTGTCTGGTGCAACAGGTAGAGTGAGGAGGAGAGTAAGGCACCAGGAAGTGAGAGAGATTCGAGTAACTTTAACATATACATATATATGAATGTTTAGATTGTCTGGTGCAACAGGTAGAGAGAGTGAGGTGGATAGTTAAGCACCAGGAAGTGATAGAGATTCGAGTATCTGTATTTATTAGACTGGAAAAGGAATTTGCACATTGAAGGGTTATGACCAGGTTGGGCACATAAAGAGCATCAGGCTATGGAGCAAGTGTTTTGGCTGAGTGGACAATATGCCAGCATTTCTGACACTGACAGGGAAAAGAACAATAAGATTCAGATTGAGCAGGACACTCCACCAATATAAGCGTCAAGGGAGAGGTCATGTCTGTAAAAGCTAATCTTGGGCAACATTAGCATAGAACTTACATTGGGAGGAATATATGTATGTATTTACAAATATCTATCGTATGTATGTATTTACAAATATGTATTTACAAATATGTATGTATTTACAAATATGTATGTATTTACAAATATCTATCGTATGTATGTATTTACAAATATGTATGTATTTACAAATATCTATCGTATGTATGTATTTACAAATATGTATGTATTTACAAATATATAGAGTAGAACTTACATTGGGAGGAATATATGTATGTATTTACAAATATCTATCGTATGTATTGACAAATATGTATGTATTTACAAATATGTAGCGTAGAACTTACATTGGGAGGAATATATGTATTTTCAAATATCTATCATATGTATGTATTTACAAATATGTATTTACAAATATATTGCGTAGAACTTACATTGGGAGGAATATATGTATTTACAAATATCTATCTGTATATATGTATGTCTCTGAGTATATATATGTATGTAATACTTACATATATATATACTGCAAGTCAATGAGGCAGGCAAGCAAGTCATTTTTCATAGTCTAACCGGTCCTTGTAGACAGGACAGTCAGTCAGGGCAGTGAAAAGAAACTGCCTACCTACTTTTGGAGCATATTTGGAAGAGAAGAACGAGTATGGGATATTAATACAAGTGATAATAATGACTAATATTTTACAGGGTGAGAATGGAAACGAGGAATATGCAAATCAACAGCATTTATTTTTTTATTCGCTTATTGCAAATTAAAGTTACATTTTCCTTTGTTTTGTCAAATAATATTAATACCCTGTCGTGTCATTTCAGTGTTAACATTTGTTCTGTTACATACATATAAACATACACATGTATACATATATACATACTCATATACATATATATGAAGACATATATATATTCATCAATTAATAAATGTATGTGTGTGCATGTGTATATAAAAGTAATTATATACATAATTTTATACATATATACATACACATATATGTATTAAATACATATATACTCACAGACATACACATATATACAGATAGATATTTGTAAATATATATTACATATATATGTGTATATATATTTGGACTGTAATTGGTTCCATGACTCATATCAATTAAATCTTCACTAGAAATACACACACACACACATATGTATATATACAGTGAGGTTATATTTGAATATATATAGTGTTAAAGAAAGACTAATGAATAGAAATATAAAAAGACAATAAACAGTTATCAACATAGATAAAATGTTCTATAAAAATAACATTAATAAAAATAGACATTTACTTCAACACATATTTTGTTTCCTCTTGTATTACAACAATAAAATCGTGGTTGAAGCTAAAACACTCTTTTTAACCCATTCATGCCGGGTGTCACATATACATGACATGCCCACAGTAAGTTTACACTTGTACCCTTTTCTTTAATTCACGAAAATATTTTACTTAATCTTATTTTGCTGTTGCTAATGTTCATAACTTAGTAATGTAACTGTAGTAATTATAATGTTTATAATAAAAATAACCATAGATATTCGTAGCGCTAGTAAAAATTACATTTTCCCGCCAAATGAAATCAGGTAAGGCAGAGCCATCTATGTGTAAAGACATTTCACAAAAAAGTACAGCATTTTCCCCCATTTTTTGTTCATTTTTTACCCCGGCGCGAATGGGTTAAAATAGCCAACAACTTCTAGTCACCATATCAAGGAGACAGAGGAGAAGCTTCCCTAAAAGCTATGATCAAGTAGTAGCTGTTTTTTGACTCCTCTTGACCAGTGACACGAGCTTATCTAAATTCTATAGAGACTTTAATACAAGTCACAAAGCATAAAAGTTTAGGGTTAAAAAGAATTGAAAATTATGAATATTGGGTATAATATATATAATAAGATAGGCTCCTCCAAAATTTAGGATAATTCTTCCCTATTTATGTCAAGACAAAGTGCATTCCCTCTAGTTGAAATATATTACATGACTCGTGACTTTTATGTACAAAAATGTATAGACTGAAAGTTATTGCAAATCCTATAGCTGTTAAGCATCTCTTTTATATGTACTCTTATATGTGGTCTTCTATGTACAAAAATGTATAGGCTAACAGTTACTGCAAATCCTATAGCTGTTAAGCTTCTCTTTTATATGTACTCTCTTTTATATGTAGGCCTTCTGTGTTGTATGTACTCTCATGCACTTCACCATAAATCCATTTCCATGAAAATGCACTATTGCATATCTGGCTTCTCCTTTCTATGTATTCTAACATGCCTTACTAGCTTACTTTTCTGAGAGAAGGCCTTACTGCAGATCTCACAAGTGTGAGGTTTCTCTCCTGTATGTACTCTCATATGACTGACTACGTGACTCTTCACATAGTAGGCCTTACCGCAAATCTCACAGCCATAGGGCTTCTCCTCGTTATGGACTCTCACATGGATCTTTAGACTACTCTTATATGAAAACGCCTTATCACAAATTTCACAGGAGTATGGCTTCTCTCTTGTATGGGCTCTCATGTGGCTTCCTAGGCGATTCCTGTGCAAAAAGCCCTTGTTGCAGATGTCGCATTTGTAGGGCTTCTCCTGTGTATGTAGTTTCGTGTGGCTCACTAGATTAGCTCTGTGCGAAAAGCTCTTGTCGCAGATCTCACAGGAGTATGGCTTTTCCTTTGTATGGACTCTCCTATGGATCACTAGGCTGGATCTCTCTGAAAAGTCCTTGTTGCAAATTTCACAAACGTAGGGCTTTTCCTTTGTATGGACTCTGATGTGTGCTAGTAGGTGACCTTTCTCGGAAAAGCCCCTGCTGCAAATCTCGCAGACGTGCGGCTTTTCCTTCGTATGTACTCTCATGTGCCTCGCCAGATTACTCTTCCATGAGAAGGCGTTGTTGCAAATCTCGCAGTTATAGGGCTTTTCTTTCGTATGGACTCTGATGTGCTTTGCAAGAAGACCTCTATCGGCAAAGCCCTTGTTGCAAATCTCGCAGATGTGCGGCTTTTCCTTTGTATGTATTGTCATGTGCCTCACAAGATTATTCTTCCGCGAAAAGGCATTGTTGCAAAATTCGCAGTTGTATGGCTTCTCTCTCGTATGTACTCTAGTGTGCGTTAGAAGATGGCTGCTCTTGGAAAACGTCTTGTTGCAAATCTCGCAGGTATGTGGCTTCTTCCTTATACACGCTCTCGTGCACTCCCCGAGATCGTGTTTCCGCGAGAAGACTTCATTACGAAATTTGCAGCTATAGGGCTTCTCCTCTGTACACAATACGTGGTTCAAAAAGCTAGATTTATGCGAAAAAGTCTCTTCCTCCTTCGGCCTTTCCTCGTACATCCCTCGGTCCCCATCCCCCCCATCCCCCTCCCCATCTCCCCCATCCCCCTCCCCATCCCTCAATCCCCCACAGTCCTCGGCCACCAACGGCACCTTTAACGCGTCTCTTAACGCCTCGTCGCGACCCCGAGCCAAGTTCCACGAGTCTCTTGCTTCTGCTTCGCGTCTTGGATCGCAAAAATCGTGAAAATGACACTCTTGCGTCGCCTTCGTGTCACGCCCTTCGTCTCTCGCCTCGTCTCCGTAATCGAGAGGTTCCTCCTTAACCTCGAGCCATGTCTCCTCCGTGACGTCTTCCTTGACTCTTTCCTTGACGCCTAGACGCCATCCCTCCTTGACGCCTTCGCTCGACTCTTCCTTGACGCCTTCGCTCGACTCCTCCATAACGCCTACGCTCGACTCCTCCATAACGCCTACGCTCGACTCTTCCTTGACACCTTCACTCAACTCCTCCTTGACACCTTCACTCAACTCCTCCTTGACGCCTTCCTTGACGCCTTGACGCCATCTCTCCTTGACGCCTTCCTTGACGCCTTCGCTCGACTCTTCCTTGACGCAGACTCCTGTGCCGAACATTTCCTCGCTCGTCAGGGGAGCCGAAGCCATCCTGTCGGAGGGATAGCTCGTCGTCACCTATGAACGGAAAAATGGAACGGGAAATAACGGAAATAACAGAACAGAAATAACAGACTGCGTCAATTGTCATAGAACGTCCCATTGAACAGAAAATAACAAAAAATATTAGAACAGAAAAGAACAGAAAATAATAGAAAAGAACAGAAAAGAACAGAACAGAAAAGAACAGAAAATTACAGAACAGAAAAGAACAGAAAATAATAGAACAGAAAAGAACAGAAAATAACAAAAAATATTAGAACAGAAAAGAACGGAAAAGAACAGAACAGAAAAGAACAGAAAATAATAGAAAATTATAGAATGGAAAAGAACAGAAAATAACAGAAAATAACAGAAAATAACAGAAAATAATAGAACAGAAAATAACAGAAAATAACAGAACAGAAAATAACAGAAAATAACAGAAAATTATAGAATGGAAAAGAACAGAAAAGAACGGAAAATAACAAAAAATATTAGAACAGAAAATAACAAAAAATATTAGAACAGAAAATAACAGAAAATAACAGAACAGAAAAGAACAGAAAATAATAGAACAGAAAAGAACGGAAAAGAACAGAAAATAACAGAAAATAATAGAACAGAAAAGAACAGAAAAGAACAGAAAATAATAGAACAGAAAAGAACAGAAAAGAACAGAAAATAATAGAAAATAATAGAACAGAAAATAATAGAACAGAAAATAACAGAAAATAATAGAACAGAAAATAATAGAACAGAAAAGAACAGAAAAGAACAGAAAATAATAGAACAGAAAAGAACAGAAAAGAACAGAACGGAAAAGAACGGAAAATAACAGAAAATAATAGAACAGAAAATTACAGAACAGAAAAGAACAGAACAGAAAATAACAGAACAGAAAAGAACAGAAAATAACAGAACAGAAAAGAACGGAAAATAACAGAAAATAATAGAACAGAAAAGAACAGAAAATAACAGAACAGAAAAGAACAGAAAATAATAGAACAGAAAAGAACAGAAAATAATAGAACGGAAAAGAACAGGAAATAACAGAACGGAAAAGAACGGAAAAGAACAGAACAGAACAGAAAATAATAGAACAGAAAATAATAGAACAGAAAAGAACAGAAAATAATAGAACAAAAAAGAGCAGAAAATAACAGAACAGAAAAGAACGGAAAATAATAGAACAGAAAAGAACAGAAAATAACAGAAAATAACAGAACAGAAGAGAACAGAAAAGAACAGAAAATAATAGAACAGAAAAGAACAGAAAATAATAGAACAGAAAATAACAGAAAATAATAGAACAGAAAAGAACAGAAAAGAGCAGAAAATAATAGAACAGAAAAGAACAGAAAATAACAGAACAGAAAATAACAGAAAATAACAAAAAATAATAGCACAGAAAAGAACAAAAAATAATAGAACAGAAAAGAACAGAAAATAATAGAACAGAAAAGAACAGAAAATAATAGAACAGAAAGGAACAGAAAATAATAGAACAGAAAATAACAAAAAATATTAGAACAGAAAAGAACAGAAAATAATAGAAAAGAACAGAAAAGAACAGAACGGAAAAGAACAGAACAGAACAGAAAATAAAGGAAAAGAACAGAAAATAACAGAACAGAAAATAACGGAAAAGAACGGAAAAGAACAGAAAATAATAGAACAGAAAATAACAGAAAATAACAGAACAGAAAAGAACAGAAAAGAACAGAAAAATAATAGAACAGAAAAGAACAGAAAATAATAGAACAGAAAATAACAGAAAATAATAGAACAGAAAAGAACGGAAAAGAACAGAACAGAAAAGAACAGAAAATAATAGAACAGAAAAATAATAGAACAGAAAAGAACAGAAAATAATAGAACAGAAAAGAACAGAAAATAATAGAACAGAAAATAATAGAACAGAAAAGAACAGAAAAGAACAGAAAAGAACAGAACAGAAAAGAACAGAAAATAATAGAACAGAAAAGAACAGAAAATAACAGAACAGAAAAGAACAGAAAATAACAGAACAGAAAATAACAGAAAATTATAGAACAGAAAATAATAGAACAGAAAAGAACGGAAAAGAACAGAAAATAACAGAACAGAAAAGAACAGAAAATAACAGAACAGAAAAGAACGGAAAAGAACAGAAAAGAACAGAAAATTATAGAATGGAACAGAAAAGAACAGAAAATAATAGAACAGAAAATAACAGAAAATAATAGAACAGAAAAGAACAGAAAATAACAGAACAGAAAAGAACGGAAAAGAACAGAAAAGAACAGAAAATTATAGAATGGAACAGAAAAGAACAGAAAATAATAGAACAGAAAAGAACGGAAAAGAACAGAAAATAGAACAGAACAGAAAATTACAGAAAATAATAGAAAATAATAGAACAGAAAATAACAGAACAGAAAATAACAGAAAATTATAGAATGGAAAAGAACAGAACAGAAAATAATTTCCTCGTCGTCACCTGTGAACAGAAAAACAAAAATAACGGAACAAAAATAACAGAAAAACAAAAATAACAGAAAAACAAAAATAACAGAAAAACAAAAATAACAGAACAAAAATAACAGAAAAACAAAAATAACAGAACAAAAATAACAGAAAAACAAAAATAACAGAAAAAACAAAAATAACAGAACAAAAATAAACAGACTGCATCAACATCCATGCTAGAAAAAAAAAAAAAAAAAAGTCATCACAAAACAGATACATAATTTTTGGAATAAAATGACTATAAAGATGACAATATCATTTATCAAATTTGAAATAAATTTTTGAAAGCATTTTCACACCTATAACACACACAACACATATATACATATATATATATTCATCACACACATATACATATATATATATTCATCACACATATATACATATATATATATTCATCACACATATATACATATATATATATTCATCACACATATATACATATATATATATTCATCACACATATATACATATATATATATTCATCACACATATATGAATGTATATAAACATATACATATGTAAGTAATATGTACATAAATATATATATATACACATATATGAACATGCATTGTACATATACACATACACATTTCCTGCATTTCCTCCTGGAACGGACACAGGCGACCTGCTCTACTATCCCTCTTGGTACTTGTAGACCCTAAGTCACCGTCTGCTATTAAAGGAAACTGCGGCACAAGAGGACAAGCTTTTTTTTTTTTTGGGGGGGGGGTTGGGAGGGGGGACGGCAGACAGATCAGCTCCTCGTCCTCGACCCTAAGGACACGAGAGTCTCTTGGGGTCTCACATCTACCCTCAACAACAAACCTGCAAGCTTAGGACCCCTTTCATTCTCCTATGCCAAGGTTACTATCTCGATATCAGAAGCTCTCTCACTCATATATGCTTATATATATGTATAAATATATACATATATATAGATTAATAAGTATATGTATAATTCCATTTTTGCACATATGTAAACATATCTAAATATATATCTATATAAATATATAAATAAAAACACAAATCACACACATACATGTTTATATATAATATATGTATGTATGTTTGTGTATAAATATACACATACATCACACATATACACTTATATTATATATATTTATATATATAAATATATATATATTATATATTAGTGTGTACATGTGTGATGTGTGTGTGTAAATATATGTATATATATATACAAAAATATAAATATACATACACCTATTTATCTATATTTATATATATATTTACATAAATATGTATATATATATATATATATAGATAGATAGATAGATAGATAGATACATATTATATATATATGTAGTTATACATTCTATATATACATATGTACCTGTATATTTTTACAGAGAGATACCTATACAATTTTCCATATATATACAAATATATATGTGTGATCATATACAGATATGTATGTATATGTAGATCTTTCATTGGAAATAATATACATATATTATTACATATAACTTATACTACAAGCGTGATTGTTGATATATATATATATATATATATATATATATATATATATATATATATATATATATATATATATATATATATATATATATAAGTAGAAAGCATATAATAATAATAATCATATGATAAAAGCATAAAATAAATAATAATATAAGCATAATAATAAGCATATAATAATATAAGCATATATATGAATGAATGTATGAATATATACTGTATGTATATATGAATGTATATGCATATGTATAAAAGTGTATATAGATACATATATATATATAAAAGTGTATATTCATATATATATATAAAAGTTTACATCTGTTAAAAGAAATAAAATTACATCGCATTCTACATATATAGAAGTGTATATACATACATATATACAAAAGTGTATACACATACATATATATAGAAGTGTATACACATACATACATATATATATAAAAGTATATATACATACATGTATATAGAAGTGTATATACATACATATATATTATAGTGTATATACATACATATATATAGAAGTGTATATACATACATATATATTATAGTGTACATACATACATATATATATAGAAGTGTATATACATATATATATATAAAAGTGTATAAACACACATATATATAAAAGTGTATATATAAAAGTTTACATACTCATCCTTAAAACAAAAAAAAAAGAAGTTTACATCACACTCCACATATATATAGAAGATTGTTCCTCCAACAAAGACAGTTCTGCGCAGACAGAGTTGTGTCAATAACTGTCAATAGTTGTGTCAATGACCAGCCTGTTTTCTGCTTCTCATCAAAAGGGGTTTTTATGCCAACAGGTGACTGCCTGTCATAGATGAACAATTAAATGCTATTAGATTAAACATTCAACATATAGATTAAATAGATTAAACATTAAACATAGAGATTAAATAGATTAAACACATAGATTAAACATTAAACATATAGATTAAATAGATTAAACATTAAACATAGAGATTAAATAGATTAAA